ACAAACAAGCAGAATAATAGTATAGATATTACAGTACAAAAAATAACAACATATAAAGCTTTACTGAAAATAAAAATGTTCGATATTTAGTTACGAGGTTTTTATTTTTCATTTTTTTAACTTTTTATTATCATAAAAGTAACTAAAATCATAAAAATAGAAAGTTGTTAGGTAAGATTATGAAAAAAAATAATAAAAAACGTTCATAGGGTATACTCGCCAGAAGCTTCTGCATTACGGTGTTCGATAGGTTCATGTCGATCCATGTGCGCCATGTAATTTTCAACTTCTGTCGGGGTATTTTTCGTCAGACACGGTTCAAAGGTCAATAAAACAAAAATTCATAAATATAAATAGATTTATACTGCTAAGAGATTTAAGTTATTATAAACATTTGTGGTTTCCTATTACAACTTGCAGTTATTCTAGAACAAAAAAGTAATTTAGATTTATTTCCTAATTTTTATGATGGTTACGAGGTCGGTCAAATTGATCAACACCATATAGAGTTAATATTGATAAAATTTTAATTTAAAAAGAACGTTAGATGATTATCTAGCAGGATATAGAGATTACGCAAATTAAACTTGACACATTTCAGATAAAGAAAAGTATTTATAATATTAAAATCTAAATTACTTTGTACGTTGGATAGTCAACATTCTGAAAGAAAAAATTCACGAGCATATCTTTAATAAAAGAATCTTAAACATAATTCAAAAACCAGATATTTTGTGTATGAAATCCTTGTAATGTTTAATAATAATCTGCAAAATTTTGTAAAGACTTGCTTACATTTTCAAAAATTATAGTACAATTATTCTCATAGATACTTTCCTGGTTATGAGCTGGGTGGAATTCACCCAGCCCGTAACTGGTTGAATTCCGTGGTAGAATTTATACTCTATATTCATCCAGCTTAATTTGCTCGAAGAAAAACAAATTAGGAAAACAATGAAAGCCCTGATATTAGGGTGAGTCAAACACATTGTATTCCTTTTTATTTTACATATCATATACGTTTTAAAACGTTTAATATTCAGTGTGAATTAACACTGCTCTATTAACTTGTGGATACATTTTTGTAATGATTCAATTAAAAAGAACCAGCGGAACGTTCGGAAGACCTTTAATAAAACCGTAGCTTACGGAAAGTGCTTTTGATGGAGCTTTGACTGACTTCGCTGCGGTTAAAACGTTAAAATCAGTATTAATCCCAGTACTTATGTAGAAAGGTTTCGGTGTTGCATTGCAGGTATAAAAGGAACATATTACAAAAGTTACACGTTTTTTCTTCTTGTTTTTTGTTTTTTTTTTCATACAAAATGTAAAGCTTTTGGCTTTGTCTGGTGGTATTGTGTTTGTTATTCTTATTATTTTGTATAACAAATATTGAATTTTGGTGTGCAATATAAATCATCGAATATTCCTTGAAATGGAAATTTTATACAATTAATTTCTTCGGATTTATATATATATATATATATTTATAATACAGTTAAGTATATTTAGTAAAGATAGTAGATCTCAGCCACTTTTTTTATAAAACATTATCATAACTTAAACTAATTCAATAAGTTTACAAGTAAGTTTAATGATATTAAGCATTAATTTAATTACTCAGAATAATGCAAGAACAGTTATTAGTTCCAGAAATATTAGTTGATTCAATTTTAGTTACTTAAATAGAAATATTAATATAATAAATTATTCGTTACTAACAGTAATAAGTTCGATCAAGTTTTCCACCGTTCATCATAAAGATATTTTTGGAAAGTTTTCCGCAATCATATTCTATCGAGTTAGTATTTCAAGATATAAAATATGTGTTTGAAAATTCTAAACCTCCTTTGTAAAACCAAAAGTCTAATTAACAAAAATAAACATAAAAAGTAGTTTTGTTATTATAAGTCATGAATGTCTAAACATACCTGAGAAGGCTCCCTTCCTTACAGCAATGAATGTAATTGCATATGATTTACAGTTTCCAAGAAACGATTTCATAATATAATATAATGGCATGTTCATTCAGAACAGAAATTCCAAAATTACTTCTCAAACCTAAAAAATTATAACCAAACCTTCCTCTAAGACATACAAATAACTGCTATGGAATTGTACACTAGATAGTTTATTCTCTCCACACTGTTTCGATTTAAATAAAACAAATACATATATATTTCGTGACCAACTAACAAAATATCACCGTGAAGATTTCAGGATGATTGAGTCTTTCTCATATTTGTCTATATTGTAGTATAAACGTACTTTTCAGTTTTTTCTGTAGTTTGTTACACAGATATAAATACAGGCAGGTCCCATATCCAATGCACAGAACGCAGCACACTCAGTAATACTTTACCATAGCCATAATCTTTCACAGAGAACAATAACACAATCACTATTGAAAGGTTTAAGAAATTGTTCTCAAGATTTACCACTAACATTATAGAAAATTCACATAGGATTACTGTGCAAGTCAGATATCAATCACAGCCTGTAGGGCAAAACGTTTAAATACAATTACAAAACAAAACAAAAACAACAACACTCAACTATTATTCATAACACAAAACAACAATTGTTACAAAGGTTAACGTAATTATAAACTTAATATCATAATTAAAAATTGAGCCATGAATCATCTTAGAAAACGTATAATTGAAACCAACGAAGTATCTTTGTAACGTTGATTATGAAACTTACAAATATAAAAAAAATAAAAAAATAACACGTTCTGCTGTTTCAGAAATGTATCTTGTCACCACTAAAATTTATAAGATTCAATGAAAATAAATCACTTTACATATATTTATGCAAAAATGGCAGAAAATCAAAAACATAATTAATATAAGGTACTTAAAATTGTCCATTAAAAACATAAAGAACACCAATTTATAAACAACTAGGAATCACTTTAGATTTACTAAATTAGCAGTGTTGATAACTGGATAATTATGTGTCGTTACTCTATACTTGTTTCGGTTTTGATTGGATAACAATGTATCGTCACTCTATACTTGTTTCGGTTTTGATTGGATAACAATGTATCGTCACTCTATACTTGTTTCG